AATTATTAGATAACTTTTATTATAAAAAATAATAATAAATTTGCTTTCAAACTAACAAATGTAACTTTTATTAGAAAATACTAATAAAAATTGCTTCTGAAGATTCAAATGTGATAATAAAAGTCTTCTTTAACAATTTAGATGCAGATTTATTAGAAAGGTTGCATCTGAAGTATTGGAATCAACTTTTATTAGAAAATAGTAATAAAATTGCGTTCGAACTGTCAGGTAACTTTTACTATAAAAAATAATAATAAAAATTACATCTGTACTATTAGACAACTTTTTTTATAAAAATAATAATAAATGTTATTCAAACTATTAGAAGTGATTTTATTATCATTTTTTCACTTCTAATAGTTCAATTATGACTTATATTATTATAAAGTTACTTCTGACAGTTCAAATGTGACTAATATTATTATTTTTCTAAATAATCTTATCCAGTATTATTCTAAGATTTTCATTTCACATGATATGCATAATTTGTTACTTTTGTATTACACATTTCTGATTTCACTTTTACGATATATTCTGAAACTTAGAAATTTTTATTTCACATTCTATTAAATATCACTAGTCACATGGGTGTAAAAATTTATTTATAAACTTTATAACAGTACTTTGTTAAATAATACAAATACCAATAGTTCAGTGTAACTATTTTTTTATAATAAATGTTATACCTGAATTGTTAGAGATAACTTTATTAGTATTTTTCTAATAAAAGTTATCTCTAACAATTTGGAATTATCTTTTATTAGATTTTTAAAATTGCTTCTGATAATTCAGATGTGATTTTATTGGTTATTTTCTAATAAAAGATGTTATAATATTCAAAAAATATTTATCATTAACTAAAAACTTCAAATCAATCTAAAATTTTATGATTGATTTCGTTCAGTTCAGATTTTTTTTAGTTTGGATTGAATTATAATCAAAAAAAATCTGAACTAAACCAAAAATTTTTATTGATTTTTTTACAATCTGAACTGAAAAAAGCTGAACTAAACTAAAAAATTTTAGATTGATTCAATCTGTTTAAAGTTTTAGCATTAGGTTTTTTATTTTTTAATAAATTTGTAAATATTTCATTAAATATCTTCATTTTATTTTCTTTTTTATACTCAGTAATTTATTAAATTAAAAGATCAATTTTATAATCTTTCTAAATACAATTTGATTCATTTAAAGAATATAATTTTTATTTAATAACAACTTTTTTTTTTGTTAGAAATCTTGTAATTTTTTAAATATATTTTGAATAATCTTTATTCTTACTTTTAATTTCTTTTAAAAAATATCAAAATTTTCTCTTTCTTAAATTAAGTCTATACTTTGTAAATTAGCAGATTCTTTCTTAATATCAATATAATTGATTATAGAAGTATTTTACAAAAATTGGTTATAATCATTATATAAATAATTAGAAGCAGTGAAATTTTGATAAGAAATCTAAGAAAAAGTCTTATTTTATCCTTATTTAAAAGAGTTAGTAGAATACTACTTTGGATTTTATTTGATATATTATTTAAGATATCTCTTGAAAATTCTATAATAAAAAAAATATATTAAATGCATGTTTTCTTAATCAATCAAAAAAAAATATTGAATTTGGTTAATTATAATAATTATTATAAAGTCTAATTTTATTTATCAGAAATTTGATACAATCCATTCAAAAAAACTGATCAATAAATATAATAATATCAACTGATCTACTGACTTTTCATCAAGTCACTTAGAAAAAATTGAATATAAAACCTTTAAAGTGTATTATACAGAATTTTATATATAATAAACTGTATGAGATACATTTAATAGAATTTTTAGCAGCAAAACAGATGCAAAGAAAATCCAGTATCTATAAGAATATATTACCAATACTATTCAGATAGGTAAAGAATTATAACTTAAACATTGGGGGTATAGAGTAATTAGTATATATATAAGGTAAACAGTAATATGTTTTTTTATATTATGAATTTTTTAGGAGAGCGCTCAAATCTACAGTTACTTTACTTCTAACCTTTATTATTATTTTTTAAATAGCTTTGAAGCTGTCTTATGATTAAGCAGATTTAGTTAATAATAATAGTTTAATTTATAATAATCTTACAAAAATTTGAAATAATTCTAACTCAAGTGAACAATTTTCAATTCCTTATTAATGTATCACTTCTTCAAAGATTATCTGTAACCTTTAATGAAGAAATAATATATACTGAGCTAAGTGATTATATTTATATAAGCAAAGAAGAATGTCAAAATACAATAGTTAAGAATATCAATAGCATATTAGCTAGTTTAATTAACAGGAAATTTATAGACAATAAGTTAGTAAGTATATTATATTATCCTCTAAATTCTATGATTAAAATTCTGCTTAAGAATTTTTGATAATGTTCTACCTATTAAAATTGATTATGATAAGACAGATTTATGAACAATAATGATTAATATTAAAAGGCCTAATTTTTTTTTGTTAGATTAAATTTGTACTTATTCTTAAAGGTGAAGAGAAAGCAAATACTGGTGACTTTAGTGTGATCATATCTGAACTGATAGACAAGTTCAATATATATTTTTTGGTGAAATTCACTTTATAATTTGCTATGTTGCAGTGGGATAAAGGAGTGTTTTTATGCAATTGATACTAAGAAATAACTGACAACATCAACAAATCAATTTGCTATTAGCAATTCTTTAAATAGAATTAATGTTATACATATTATTATCAATATTGTATGAATTGTGCTAATCCTAAATAACAATATTTCCAATAAAATATTACTTCTTGGAAAGCAATAGAAATTAGAAAACCTTCAGATTATATTTTATATTAATTCAAACAAAAAAAAGAGTCTTAGAAGCAAATTTCTCATACTCTGAAAACATGGATCTTGTATCTGTTTTTTTTAATTAATATACTAAAATGCTAAAAGTTATTCAGGTCATATCCAGATCATGAAAGGACCTGTTTTTGCTAAAGAAGTATACAAGGTTTTAATGAAAACTTGAGGCTTCTCTTGTTATCTAAAACTGAGAATGAATTACAAGAAAAGGCAAAATATGTATTTACTAGATTAGTCAGGTTACATGATGGAAACTTTGTTCATCATGATATCTGATTACCAAACATATTGTATATTTCTGGTTCATATGAAGTCACTAGATATGTCTTCATTGATTTTGAGCATGGTGGTCATAATAAGAAAATCCTGGCAGACTAATAAAGGACTGGGATGGAAATATACTTATAACCTCTGGTTATTATACTTATTCATCAGATATATACCAACTGGGAAAGGTTATAGAAAGTTATGGTAATTTGATAACAGGTAACAGGAATGATTTTATGAACCAATTGAAATCAAAAAATATGACAGCGATGGAGGCACTTAGGCATCCATGGATTGATAATACAGTACAGTATTGATATCAATATAAAGTTTTAATATATAACGATTTAATATTTTAGAATTTTATCAATAAAGTAAACCATTTGCATTAATGCTAAATATTTTGATTGTAATAAGCACTTAACTATCAACAGAAATTGCAGTCAATCGATTTAAAGTTCAATTAATGCAATGTCAAAATTAATGCCTTATTTACACACATGAATGATAAAATTTATATATAGGATTATCCTTATACGAAAATTAGTGAATTCAATGGTTCTACTGAATATGATAAAGCAATATGTTTCTTTGGAGGTAGGTTGCAATTGTGGTTGCTTATGTCGGATTGCGTAAGATATTTCTAGCTCTTTAAATCTGAGTAAGACGTATTTTTAATGGCCCAACTGAAAGCAATGAATGGTGGAGAAATAACTGCTAGTCAAAGTCTTAAAAAAAACGCGTATTAATTAATAAAAGAACTTTTTATTATTGAGACCACTTTGCTAGAAAACGTATCTTAATATAGCCTCACTCATTTGGAAAACGTCAGCAACGAATAGTATAATACCGCGCGTTCATGGTAATGTAAAAAGAATGCCACAATGGAAAACCAAAATAACCATTAATATAAACTGTCGCTGAAATTCATGGATTACCAAGTCCTGATAGAAATGTCAATTACATTACTCCTCTTGCCAGCTGAAACGAGTTACAAATCAGTCTATCGTGATTTTATTGTAGGTCTTGAAAATGATAACACGTTGAAATTGTTAAAATACGATACATTCCGCAAATTATGACATCAATTAACGCCTTATATTCAATTAATGAGTAAGAACGGATTTACGTAATACGTGTCAATGGTTTCAAAAGATAATTTTCAGAAACTTTATGATATGAAAAATTATATTAAAAATATTTTAAAATCTAATGCTATCACTAAACGAAATTTAGTATGTTTTGTACTAAATATGGTGTATATCTATAACCTTCGAAGTAAAAAAACCAAGATATCTGATTGAATGTATTGATCTCCGTTGTTTTAAATATCAACTACAGTATTTTAGATTCCATAGCAATGTCTTGTAGATTCCAAAAGAATTTTATTTAATAAATTCGATTTTTTATCCTCCTTTAAAAAAGAATAACATTGTAATAGCATGCAAAGTAAATGCTTGCAACTTTTGCCTTGTAAGAAGCAACTTACAAGGTTTTTATGCGAAAAAGCAATCCGATGACTAGTCCGTGCGACTCGAAAATTCACAGCCTTTCTCTCGTGAAAACAATCAAAATACTTTACTTAAAATTTTAATGTTATTTTCCCGATTTCAGTTGCTTTATCATAATACATAAGTCACATTTATCTCCTGACCTCATAAACTTGAAAGTAGCTAAAAAAAAAAAAAAAAAGATCTCACGATCATTCACGATTACGAAATCACAAGTGACATCTATACTAAGACAAAGTTTGTTTGATATGAGTAATTAACATAGATAAATCACGTGAATATATCCTTGGAAACTTTAAAAAATTTATTTCAATAAGGACTCGGGCTTAAACCCTCTGACGAATTCCTAAATTAGTTTCAAACTCTCCTACATTAATAGATGATTCATAATAACTATGCATTGTATGAAAACAAAAAAAGATCCAACATAAGTTTCAATATCCAAAAAACTACTGACATCACTATCATCAAATTCGCTATCGTCAATAATCGTTGAGCAGGTTTGACGGTGAACTTGACCTAATGGTGTTCACACTCGTGTGCTTGAACGAGAAGATTTTATTTTACTTTTTTTGACAAAAGTAAAAAATTCTTGGCTCAAGTCCTTACTCAACCTTGCCCAAGAGATCCTTTCACCTAAAAAAAAGGAAACAAAAAAACTTTAGACAATTAAATCTTTTAAAACAAATTAGAATACATAATAATATCTTACGTCGAATATTATAATTTTGCGGATAATAGGCCGGTTCCCACATTAACACACAATCGATGATTGCATCATCCTATAAAAAATTATAGTGTAAATTTTAATAAATTTCTTAAATTTAAATTATAAAACGATATTGCATTTATTATAACTTTGTGACTTACATTGATGCTGGATTGATTAAGCTTCTTGAAACGACTTCGATTTTCAATCGAGAACCATTGTTTATCATCCTATATTATAAATTTATTAATTAAATTCTAAAATAAATAAATAAATAAATTACTTCATTATAAATTTTTAACTTACATCGATACTGGATTGGTGTTTATTATTTTTTCTTTTGCGAACCATTGTTTATTTAATATTAAAAAAAAAAATTGGGTGTAAATGAAGAGTTTTTTTTTTTTTCTTGGCGTTTTCAAGTGCTTATATCTTTACTTAATATTGTCAGCCCATAAATGAAAAACTAGATTATCAGATTCTGATTTCATATGTTAGATGCATAATGTCGATATGATGTACCTCTTTTTTAATAAAGGTGAAATTGAATACTTTATAATTTGAGTAAAAGTGTATCATAAGAAGATTTCTAATTGGGTAAAAATATTGATCTGCATTTCTATATTTAGTACGATAATAAAATAATGAAAAATTATTGTTACTTAATAAATAATATATTAAACCTTTTTTTATAATAATATCACCTATAAACAAACTTTTTCAAAACCAGAATTATTTTGGTAATTAACTTTCTGAAGAATCAAATTTTTTTTATTTAACATATTCTACTTTTTTGAAATAATAATATAAACTTTACTATATATAATTTAAATAAATCTATAATAATTAATTATAGAAAAGTATTATCTCAAAGGAATAATGTATTGTTATCTTACGATACTAATGACTGAAAATTAGTATTAACGCAAGATTAACAAAGGATTTAGCTTTAAGACTTTTAT